GCTCGTCAACGGCTATAATTTATCCTCGGAATGTCCTCGGTTTATCCCGACGGAATACAGGTTCCTCGGAATGTCGTCGGAATATTCCGACGGAATTCCGAGGAAACATAAAATTTGTGTTTCGTCGGAATTCCATCGGAATCCCATCGGAATTTTCCGAGGAACTGCGTGGCCGTCGGAATTTTCCTCGGGATAAGCCCTGTTTTCTTGTAGTGGTAGATCACATCAAATACATGGTCGGTTCAATCTGAGGAGTTTCTGTAACATATAAAGATACTTAGAAGTTGGTCGGAGATGAAAAACTAGATCGAGCTTTAGATTAAGAAGCCTAGAAAACACGTCCTTCAAGCATGTACCAGCCCTGAGAATTAAAGAATCTAACGTGAATTTTTAACGATATTATCTAAAAAAAAAATTCATGGATTTGGAGATCTAATTTTTTCTTTTCAGAGATCTATGCACATATATTTTTTTCAAAAAAATTGAGAGTCTGAAGCTAATATTTATTAGGTTTGATCTAGGGCTGACCCTAACGACAAGTTAAATATATCTCGATTTCTACAAGGTGAAGGTGAAAGAGATGAGATCCATCGCAAGATCGTCAACGTTGTATAAAATAATTTTGATCAAAACATTATTTTCGTAATACAATTTTGCTGACAACCGGTAAATAGTTCACTGACATAGAAATAATGAAGGCGACGTGAGGAATTAACAGTATATATCTTAGATATGGAACATGATCCTATTCATGTATGTGTACTTAAAATATAGTACAACGTATTTGCTCAATTATCATACATAGAGACGAGGATTGGATGTATGGTTTATGATAAAATAAACATTTACATAATATAGCAAGTACAGTTAAAATAATCTTACAAAAAACAGAGAGAGTATAGTGTAAGTACATGGACGACGCAACGAAGTTTGTAAACACGGGGGAGCAATGCATAACAGCGGTGGGCACAAGCCAAATATTCAGTATTTTTAATATATTTAGTACTTGGTTTAGTTTGTATGAGTAGTAAATATTTTTAGTTATATTTGGTTTTCCGAAAACGAATACTTATAATTTTGAGTACTTGTAAAAAATTGACGAACTTGTAAATAACTTGACTTATTTTATTACTTGTTGTTTGTAAATTAATTATTTCATTCATAATTATTGGTAAAGTATTTGATAATTCATTAGAATTTTAAAATTAAAGAACTTTATTACATATAATAATATGTCATTTTCTTGTATTTAAGTCATTTGGGAAATAGACTATATAAAAAAGAGAAAATTTCAAGATACTTAATTATACAAATATATCACTTATGTCGGATGTACTTATGAAGATGAAAATAAAGATGAGTTATTTTATTCTTATTTAGAAAAATGTATCTTTGTTTATTAACAAACACAAATAACAACAACAAAATTATTTATTTTATTTAATATTTGATTTTTTTTATATTTACAAATAGTTTAAATAAATTACTTGATATTTAACTTGGTACTTAACTTGGTCAGTACATATACTATTTAAAGATTATATACCTATCAAGTAGCAAATAAGAGGCAAATAACGAGTAATTGTGGTCACCAATAAAATATAATACATAAATTTAGAAAACTAATAAAATGGATATATGTATTTAATAAACTAAATAATAAATAATAAATAATGAGATATGAAAATAATAACAAATAACAAATCAAGTAACAAACTAAGTAATTAAAAATAAAAATGAACTTGATACTTAATTAGTATTTGCGATTGCAAGTATTAAAATCTGTTTACTTGTTACTCTACTTTACGCATGTTCAATCTGGTGTTCGGTTCGGTTTCGGTTTGTTTTTTTTCAGTTTTCGGTTATTCGGTTTATAAAAATTATATACCATATTGGAACCATATTTTATTTGGTTTGGTTCGGTATTTATACTACCGGTTTTCGGTTTATTCAGTTTTATACCAAATAACATTATTATTTAATTTGGTTTTATATTATATGAATTTAAAAAAACATATTGTCAAAATTATCACTTATTAAAATAATCCTAGGTGTTCAGAAATATAAAAATATGAAATTAACAACAAACAAAACGACCAACGATTTAGTTTTGTACAACTTTTCTTATTTTCTCTTTGTTCTTCCAAATAAATTACATGGTACAATCTAATTTCACAATTTCTTACAATATGAAAAATCAAATCAAATTTAGATTATAATTTAAGAAAATAAAATAAAATTATTAAAATATATCTTCACAAGGAATAAAAAAGTAAAAAAAGACTATTTCAAGAAAATAAATAGTTATATAATGTATATATTTATATATTTTTTCTTTGATCAGTTTTGTTCGGTTTATTCGGTTTAATCGGTTATAAACCTAACCATATCCAAATCATATGATTTTTATAAAATCATATCCATTCGGTTTATATGGTATATACTAAATCCAAATCATATTGTCTATTTCGGTTCTATACGGTTCGGTATTACCATATTGAACATCCGTACTACTTGATTATTGCAAGTACTTATTTTTTCAAGCTGAACCGAATTAAGTAACGAATATAAATCGAGTATCAAACATTCGTGTTTAGCTCTCTAATCCCCTATATATTAATTGAGAAACATTTGAAAAGATGTAACCTCAAGTTTGTATTAATTAAAAAGTAACCTTGCTTAGTTGTCAATCAATTAGCATATCAATTAAACTGACGTGGTGGCTTTAGGTTCAATTGAAATTTGCTAGGGAAAAATAATTAGAGACGCATATAACGCATGTAACATAGTTTATATATTTCTATATATCGCACACATGTAATGGAAGAAAAGGAAATATACGATTTGATAACGATTTGCATATATTAACTATAATAACTTCATTCCTTTTAATTTATGGAAGTGTATATGTAAAATGGAAAATACTTAAATTCAAATAATCATAACGTAATTTATAAATCATTGGTGTAAAGTTTTGTTACACAAATATGCAAATAATCATAAAATCATATGAGTAGAAACCTCATTTAATANATATACAATATATAAGATTGATTATTTTGATTTATTTACCCTAATTGTGAATAAACAAGAGTAATAGTTAAATTTATATGCATACGCCAATTTGTTACATAATAGTAATTGATTTCTTAGTTATTTAATATATATATATTTATTATTTTATTATTTATAATATGCAGAAAAATATAAAAGAAATAATAAATATAAAATAGTTATTGTGCATAAAGTGCAGATCTTAACCTAAGTATTTATCTGTTTAATTATTTTAAAACTTAAATATTTTCTAAATTTCAGGTCAAAACAAACAAACGAAATGAGAATAAAATTCAAAATAAATATTTATATCGAGTAATAACCAAAATATAAAAAAAAACATAGCAAGAGAAAAATGGAAGATAAATAGGATTAACATGTGAACGTGAACTTCTCATAACTGGAAGATAAATAGGATTGACACGTGAACGTAAACTTCTCATAACCATAATTAATTTTTAAATTGTTAAATCATGATATAAAACTGAGTTAATTTTTAATTTGTTAACTTTTAATTTTTTTTTAATTTTTTAAATCATTATGGCTATGTTAAATCATGACAATAATTAATTTTAAATTGTTTATTTGTATTCGAAAAACTTATTGCTTTTAAAAATAATTTTAAATTTAACATAATTTTTTAGAAAATTATTTTTAAAAAATATAATTTTTAAAAAATATAATTTTAAAAAAATATAATTTTCTAATATTATTAGATAAATAAATAAATTATATTAAATTAGTTTAGAAACTTTATATATTTTAATTGAAAATATTTTACCAATTGCTTCTTTAAAAACATTAGGGAACTTGCTATACTCTACCAATCAAGCCCAGTGACACTCCATTTATTTTCCATCATTCGAACACTGAAAAGTAAAAAGATATATGAAAAGATATTTTGATCATACGTATAGATAATTATATAAAAATTCCAAAATTCTAAAATTTCAAATACATACAAAAACAATCATATGTAAACTTTAAATTTGTGAATATTAAAATTTTATATTTTAATTACATATATTCACCCTGCGCAAGACGTAGGTCTTATCCTAGTACATAAGAAAAAAGGACACGAGTCCCCTTACTGTAAATAAAAACAGAAGTAAGGGTTACATATGTAATTGTCAGTGTGTCCTTTGGGAAGGAAAGTTGCTTTAAAAATGTTAAGCAAGAAAATAAAAGAACCGCTCCGTTCGGGTACGGGTCAAAACAGCCACTGTCGTTCCTTCTCTTTCAAATAAGAGAGAGATACATAGAAGTAAGTAACTTTCGAACAGAGAATAATACTATTATAAGCTAAGCTCAGCCACGTCGCCGCCATTTTTTCTCCACCGGAGGAATCATTCTCTGTTATATATTTCCATTACAAATTAAATACAGAAAAAACAGTCTCTTTCTTTTCTTTTCTTTCCTTGTCTTTGTTTTGTCTGATTATTATTCCTTCTTCTGTAGACATGTTCCGCAACAGTTGAGCAGTTGCATCCCCATAACTTTCTTTTCTCATTCCCCCGATCACAGTCCTGTGATCTCGTTTTCTCATAAGGCAGCTTAAAGAAGAAGAAGATCTATTTGTACAAAACTGAAACGACACCTTCTACTGTCGTTTTAGTTGCAGCTCGAGATCTGTGCTTCTTTCTTGGCTTCTGAGCTTTTGGCGGTGGTGGGTTTTCTAAGAAAAAAAAATCAAAGTTGGGGTCTTTTTTTTTTAAATAAGTAAATACACTAATTTAATGGGAGTTATCAGTACTGGGTAAATTACAAGTAATGAAGGAGTTGAAGGTTCGGGGAGACAACGATTGCGAGCTTATTTTGCTGAAAAAATCCAGACTTGGTTGATGTGTGTTCTGTTCTGTTCTGTCAGGAGAAGAAGGACTCTGTTTTTTTTTTCTCTCTCCATTTCTTAGTGGTTTTGGGTTTGTCAAAAGATTTAGTTTGGTGAATGAGTGGGAGGTGGAGGGAAACAAGTTAAAGAAAGTTAAATACTTTTTTGGTGTTTCCTTGTCATAATTACATTTGGGCATCTTGGATCTTTGAAGAAACATTTGAATTTTTCTTTTCTTGCTGTTGTTTGCTTTTTAAGTTATATATATTAAAAAAAAAAAGAAGATGAGATTGTCTTCAGCTGGGTTTAATCCTCAACCTCATGAAGGTATTATTACTCTCTCTCTATCTCTCTATTGCTTGATAGTTTCAAATGTAGAAATTTTGGATTTTAGTAGATTTTTAACTTAACTTGTGTGTGTTTTTGTTGAAAAAAAAGTTACAGGAGAGAAAAGAGTTCTTAATTCAGAGCTCTGGCATGCTTGTGCTGGTCCTCTTGTCTCACTACCTCCTCTTGGAAGCAGAGTTGTTTATTTCCCTCAAGGCCACAGTGAACAGGTCTTTGTCTCCTTTTCTTATGCTACTTTGGATTGTTTTGGTTACAGATTACTAAAAGATATGAGAACTTTTTTTGTGTGTTTTTTCAGGTGGCTGCTTCAACCAATAAGGAAGTGGATTCTCATACACCAAACTACCCTAGCTTGCAACCACAGCTTGTCTGTCAGCTTCACAATGTCACAATGCATGTGAGAAAACTTGTTTTATGAGAATATTGTGTTTATTCTGTTCTGTGACTTAATTCAGGACTTTTTTTTCTCTTAAAAATTTCAGGCTGATATTGAAACTGATGAAGTCTATGCACAGATGACTTTGCAGCCTTTGAATGCGGTATGAGACTTTTTGACTTGTAATCCATACTTTTACTTTTATGAGGATTTGTCGGTGTTATGAACAGTTTTTCTTGTTTTGAATCCCAGCAAGAGCAAAAAGATCCTTACCTTCCGGCGGATTTAGGTGTCCCAAGTAGACAACCTACAAACTATTTCTGTAAAACTCTGACTGCTAGTGATACCAGCACTCATGGTGGTTTCTCTGTGCCTCGCCGAGCTGCTGAGAAAGTTTTCCCTCCCTTGGTACTGTTATCTTCTACTTAGCTCTGAAGTTTCCTTCTTTCATCAGCTAATGGTTTTTTTTGGTGTTCTTCAGGATTACACACAGCAGCCTCCAGCTCAAGAGTTGATGGCTAGAGATTTGCATGATAATGAATGGAAGTTCAGACATATTTTCCGAGGTTAGCTTCCAGTTTCCTTAGCTAAAACTGAAGAACAAAGAGAGTTGTTTACTCAGCTTTTGTTTCTAATCTCTCAGGCCAACCCAAGAGACATCTTCTTACTACTGGTTGGAGCGTATTTGTGAGTGCTAAAAGGCTTGTCGCTGGTGACTCTGTGCTTTTCATCTGGTAAGAACCCTCTCCTTCAAGTATCAGCTCTCTCTAATAAATGTCGGAACTCATGTCATTTGTTGTTGACATCAGGAACGATAAGAATCAGTTACTTCTTGGTATAAGACGAGCCAACAGGCCACAAACTGTCATGCCTTCATCTGTTTTATCAAGTGACAGTATGCATTTAGGCCTTCTTGCTGCTGCAGCTCATGCAGCTGCAACAAACAGTCGCTTCACCATCTTCTATAACCCAAGGTACAGTTTTAGATCCCATAAATGAGTGCACCTAACGTGTTGATTCTTTGCATTTGGTGATAAAGAGTTCCATTTTTCTTCAGGGCATGTCCATCAGAGTTTGTAATACCTCTAGCTAAGTACGTGAAAGCTGTTTATCACACTCGTGTCTCTGTTGGTATGAGGTTTAGGATGCTGTTTGAAACGGAGGAATCAAGTGTTCGTCGGTAGGTTCCTATCTATTACTCTGCTTTCTTTGCACCTGAACATTCCCTTCTCATGAATGTTTTACTTGTTGGCAGGTACATGGGTACAATAACTGGCATTTGTGATCTAGATCCTGCTCGTTGGGCTAATTCTCATTGGCGGTCCGTCAAGGTTTAGTTCAAAACCCAAACTTGTAGTAGCAAAAATTTGCTTTCTTGTATGCATAAATCATCATCTTGATAATGGTGCAGGTTGGATGGGATGAGTCAACTGCAGGAGATAGGCAACCGAGGGTTTCCTTGTGGGAGATTGAGCCTTTAACGACATTCCCTATGTATCCTTCTCCTTTTCCTCTCAGGCTTAAACGTCCATGGCCTCCTGGTCTCCCATCTTTTCATGGTCTTAAAGAAGATGATATGGGTATGGGTATGAGTATGAGTTCGCCGCTTATGTGGGATCGAGGACTTCAGGCTATGAACTTTCAAGGTATGGGAGTAAACCCTTGGATGCAGCCGAGGCTTGATGCTTCTGGATTGCTTGGTATGCAAAGCGACGTTTACCAAGCAATGGCTGCAGCTGCACTTCAAGACATGAGAGGCATTGATCCTGCTAAAGCTGCTGCGTCTCTTCTTCAGTTTCAAAGTCCCTCAGGTTTCTCAATGCAGTCCCCTTCCTTAGTGCAGCCACAGATGCTGCAGCAGCAACTCTCTCAGCAGCATCAGCAACAACTCTCTCAGCAACAGCATCATCAACTCTCTCAGCAGCAGCATCAACAACTCTCTCAGCAACAGCAGCAGCAACAACAACAACTCTCTCAGCAGCAGCAGCAAGTGGTGGATAATCATAATCTGTCTGCTTCCAGTGCTGCTGTTGTTTCTGCTATGTCTCAGTTTGGTTCTGCTTCTCAGTCAAACACGTCTCTACTCCAATCCATGAATTCTCTATGTCATCAACAAAGCTTCTCAGAGACAAACGGTGGAAACAATCCCATCACTCCTCTCCAAACTCTTCTCAGCAACTTCTCTCAAGACGAGTCTTCTCAACTGCTCAACCTCACTAGACCAAACTCTGCAATGACTTCTTCCGGTTGGCCATCAAAACGTCCTGCAATTGATTCATCTTTCCAGCACTCTGGAGCCGGTAACAGCAACAGCAACACTCAATCCGTAATGGAGCAATTGGGACAGTCCCACACAAGCAACGTTCCTTCAAATGCTGTCTCGTTGCCTCCATTCCCCGGTGGTAAAGAGTGCTCAATAGAGCAAGAAGAGAACCCTTCAGACCCGCACAGCCATCTTCTCTTTGGAGTCAACATTGATTCATTGATGCCAAACGGAATGTCAAACCTTAGAAGCATTGGCATTGAAGGCGGCGACTCCACCACTCTACCCTTCACATCATCTAATTACAACAACGATTTCTCTGGCAATCTTGCAATTACAACACCTTCTAGTTGTATAGAGGAACCAGGTTTTCTGCAGTCCTCAGAAAACATCAGTTCTGAGGACCAATTTGTGAAGGTAAATTAAAGTTCTCTCTTCCCAAAGTATGTTTCTTGTTTCGCAAGTAACTAGTGATAATCTAATGGAAAATGTTCTTGCAGGTGTACAAGTCAGGTTCTTTTGGAAGATCATTAGATATATCAAAGTTCAGCAGCTACAACGAGCTGCGAAGCGAGCTTGCTCGCATGTTTGGCCTTGAAGGCCAATTAGAAGATCCTGTGAGATCAGGCTGGCAGCTTGTATTTGTTGACCGAGAGAACGATGTTCTTCTCCTCGGCGATGACCCTTGGCCGTAAGTTATTATCTCTCTCTCATTCTTTTCTTACATGCATTGTTATAGACTGGTCTTAATACACACCCATGGTTGCTCATCTTTCATCTGTCTACAGGGAGTTTGTGAGCAGTGTGTGGTGCATTAAGATACTCTCACCACAAGAAATGCAGCAAATGGGTAAAAGAGGCCTTGAGCTTCTCAACTCAGCTCCATCCTCCAACAACGTCGATAAGGTCCCGAGCAACGGGAACTGTGATGACTTTGGGAACCGGTCAGACCCGAGGAGTCTCGGTAACGGTATTGCATCAGTTGGGGGTTCGTTCAACTACTAGATAAGTAGAAAGAAAACCCTTTTTCTTGGTGCTCAAGTTATTAAGCTTTTTTTTTTATCTTACTTTAATTACTAGCTTAATCTCTCTTTATTAATTATATAAAAAGGAAGCTTTGTGTTTGTCTTTGTGGAAACAGAAAACTATATATCTGTTGTAATACTGTAATTATAAGATCTTTTGGTCTTTTTTTTTACTTATATGAATATTTTTACTGAACTTTTGTTATGTCATTTTCTTTGGTCACCACTTCTTCAATCAACGTGATGGTGAAGTGTTGTATTGGAGCTATGTTTAAGACTTTGTCTGGGAGTCACTGGTCCACATAGAAAGTGATTTGTGTCACAGTTCCCTTATTGGTTTGTGTGAAGCACCGAAATATTCCGACCCGCTATTCAGGGCTTTACCCTAAATTTAGATCTCGTTTTGCGTCAGCAGTTACCTTTTTTCTTTGACACGTATCGATTAATAGTTCGTACTCGTAAGATACTTATTGGTAGATCAATTAAGATATGCCCTAACTTTTCTTTTTTTTTTCTAACCGAGTGCATTGATCCTAACGAATTAGTGGTTTATACTAGAGACTGAAGCGGCCAAAGACCAGCAAACTGATTATTATGTGGGTCGCCGTATAATGGTCTTCGGTTTTTGATGCTGTAACCCGTATGTTAAATCCACAGTGGCTGAAAATCAAATCTAAATGACGGTACTCATAACTATGAGCCTTTTACCATCGGACTAGATGTCCCGATTAACGTTTAAGTGGTATTAAAAACAAAACAAAAACAAACTTAAGATAATGTAAATTTTGTTTTCACTAAAGTATAAGGAATAGGCATTAAAATTGTAGAATAATTACAACGTAGAAACGTAAACGTGATATCCAGATAATCAACCGGAAGCTGTTTAGATCATCAATCAAGATTTTACAATGGAATTTGTAGTTTATTTTTTGTTTTTTCACGTCATTTTGGTTAGCTATAAGTTTGTACATCATTGCAATAATAGATGAATTTATGAATAGGATTTGTATGTTGATTGGCCATTAAGAGAACAGTGATAAACAATTAATAAAAAAGACAAGCCAAATAAATAACAAATCTGACAAAGAGATATTTGTAAGTATATGGTTTGATTTGTGGTGTATGAATGTGATTCACTTATATCTTTAGTGGTGGGAATATAAATTCCAAGTAAGAAATTTGGGAATTGTTGAAAATAATGGTGGGTGCATGTGATAAGAACATTTATAGATGACACAAGTTGGGGTACTTTCATGAGCCCTAGTTAAATAGTGCATGGTGACCCATCATTTTGAAAGTTCTCACCTTTTTTCTTTTTCTTTTTTTTTTACCTGTTAAATTTATTTTTCTTCTTTCTTTTGTTTCATCCTCTGAGAAAATCAATTGTTATTTTTAATGGTTCATAGGATGTCGTAGCCATTCATTAGAAGGTAAGGAATAGATTCAAATGAAGATATAAGAACCTAGCTATTGTCTACTACACATGGAATCATATGTCTTTTCTAAGCAGAATATGAACATGTGAAATTCGTTGGATTTAAAACATGCTTCTATCCATAACTGATTATGCCTCAACATATATAAACTTATTAGAAACTTAATCCGGAATTTTATCTTCTAAGTTTGCTGCTGAAGACCTTAACTTCATATAGTAGACAAACTTCATATAGTAGACAAACTTTACATAATTAAATGATACACGTAAAAAATCAAAATTATTTCAAGAAAAGGTTCAGAGAAGCTGTATAAATTTTTTTTTGTCAGCAGAAACTCTATCGATCGGTCTGAAGTTTTGTGAAATATAGACAATTTTGTTAAAATTGTTTTTTTTTAAATAATTTAGTAACCTTGTGTTTATTTATATAAAAAAAACTATGAGATTACCATGGTTTGATTCCATGTTAAAAATATGAGATGAAGAATAAGATTTCAGAATTGATAAATCAAAGTTGATAAAAGAGGTACCACCGTAGTTAAATGGAAGTATCATGATACAATATCACAAATGAATATAACCAACATAAGCTTTTAGTGATAAGGCTTTTGAGTGGATGTGTTAAGCTGTTATTGTGCGACTAGTTTTTTTCATTTATCTTCATTTACAAAGTTTAAAACGACGAACAGAAAACGTCAAAGGTGATATGTTATTGATGGTCGTCGATACACTTTTTGAAGCAAAGTAAATAAAGGCACTTTTGAGTTATATGACCAAAGGAAAAAATCTACGTACTATCATATAGTTGGTTTATGCGATAGAGAAATTACTAATTACTTACTATTAACTGATTCGATTATCAAAAATAATTAAATATAAAATTGAACTGATCTAAGTTTACCAAAATCAGCCCCGCTATCTTCAACTTGATCATTTTTTTAAAATTATATATGGATATCATGCCTCACATTCATGAAGTGAATCTAGACCAGCCATGATGAATATTTGCAGCCTATGTTTTTGTTCTATCCACCTGTTGATTCCTTATACTAGACGCTGTCGAAATATAAATTCTCTAGTAGTTAATGGGAATCGAAGCTGATCATTTAATCTGCTACACAAAATTATGACGAATGATGTAATATGAAGTATGCCAAAACAAATGAAACGTATGACACTGGATTTAAACTCCCAATCCCCAAGCAGACCTTTGGTGTAGACTCGGCTCGTGTGTTTTGTTGCAAGTTTTAATTCTCCATCGCATAAGAAACATGGCACAAATATCTCTAATAAATCGTTTGTTCTTTTGTAGTGGCAGAGGTGGCCTTTGGGCCAAGCCAATGAAGCCCATGCTTGCGGCTGATTTATTTATGATTATATTTCGACCACATTTTTGTTAAAAACTCCCTTAGCCTAGTGGTAAAAATTCTGAGAAGAGGTGAAGATAATTTGAGCAATCCGAGTTTGAGTCTGCTAAAATATATAGGTTTTTTTTCTGAAAAAGTGGTTACATTTTTTTCTTTTGCTTCCGGCCTTCAAAAACCTATGACCGGCTCTGTGTAGTGGTGATCGTCCTTCTTTTAGAAAGAGTAGTAGATTTCTGAGCTACAACGCTTAGCCAACATCTCATATTTTAGGCCAGATGTAAATGGCAATTGGAAAAGGTCTTAAGGATTCAAACTCGTCATCTTTCTAAATATTTGTTAGGCATTAACAAACTGAACTAAAAGAGAATTTGCTAAATAAACATTCGAAATTTTATAACCCATCGTATATGGCTTCTCCTGAGGACCGATTCTAAGTTCTAACCTTTGTTAGTTTAATTAGGACATTGGTATTAGTGGGACTGGGAAAAGTCCCTTAAGTTTTGTTTTTTGGTCGGTTTTTATTAAGGGACAGCCGTTAAATAAGGATTTTTCCCTCTTTCTCCTGCGGTCTCCGTATTTTCATCTTAAGGGTTTGTCTTAATTAAGGGACCACCAATACCAATGCTCTTGTGTTTTCGTGATGGTTCTACTGTATTAGACTAACCTCGTTTACTAAATACTGAAGACGGTGTTATACGAACTTCTTTAAACTCTTAAGAAGAAAAAACATTGATAACATTTGTGATTGATCACTAGACTAATTGGACCAGAAACATTCATGGAACCTTCAAATTATTGGATCCATAGCTCAAAGCCCAAATATACAGTGTAAAGGGCTACTAATACAGTTGTTTGGTTTGCAACTAATATGATGTGAACATTTAATCCAGTGATTTATCCGGCCTACAAGTGGTTTCTGTTTATATCAGCTCTGGTTTAAATTGTTTTTTACGGCCTTGGGCAATAGCAAGCCCTAACGTAAGACACAATCTTTGCCACTCTCTTTTGAGCACATATGGAACTACAAGGGATTTGAGAAATCAAATATTGCTTTTACTCAAAAGACAAAAAGTCATTCCAATGACTCATGAAAACCAACCACAACATATCTTGGAACCTGACACCGGTATTCGACCGGTTTCCCTGATATATTCGGCTTCAGCCACTGCCTTCTCGGCATCACGTACTCTTCTAGCTTCAGCAGAGGCCCGTTTTTCTTCAGACCTTTGCTTAGCCATCGCGATTTTCTTCATAATCCTTGTTTCAGCTTCAGCCTTCATCTGCTCAACTTTAACCTACCAAGAGAAGTTTAACAATGCTTTATCAGTGAACTTTGTGTGAGTAAACCAAGCAAAAGTATATGAAAAACGCCTCACATACCTCAATACGTTGCATTTCTGCTTCGAGCTTAGTTTTCTCTTGACTTTCCCAAGCTTGGATTCTGATCTCCTCACGCTTATACCTTAAAAAAATGAAAAGAAGTTTCTTTTAGGTATTCTACTTTATGTTGCTTGACTGACAAGTTTAATATTTGGTTTAGGTTAAGAGAACACATACCTTGCATTAAGTTTCGATTTCTCTGCTTCTTCCCAAGCACTTGCTCGTTTATCAAACTCAATCCTCTGTGACTCCTCTACGTCTACCTTGTTATTATTGTTCTCCTCGTCTTCTTTACTAGCCCACGCCGCGATGTTCATCTTCCCTAACCGAACTCCGAGAGTTACTATCTCTCTTCTTGTTTTTGCTTTCATTTCGTCTTCAGATAGTTCTCTTTTTGTGTTTGCTGACGGGTCTTGTGGCTCTTCTTGTAGGCCTCCTCTAGGAGTAGAGGGTAGAGACGAAGTCGGGCTGCGAAGAGGAGTTGTTGCACCGATTGGTGTGACAGATCTTGAAGGTTCTTGACTTGGTATTGGCGTCATATCAGTTCCCATGTCTCTCATACATACCGAGCGAGTAACAGGACCAGCTTCAAACATTAGAAAGAAAAAAACTATATCTTGTCAACCTCTACCAAAAAGATATCATGGCCAAATCTTCAAAATATCACTTTAAAAAAAAAATCCAAAATATCACCCAAACTGTAATTTTAAAACCCTAAACCCACTCTCACTCCATATATACATACTACTCTAAATACTAATCACTAAACCCAATATAGAAATATATATTTGGTTTTTATCTTAAATAAATAATATTTCATGAATTTTCTCTTTTACGACAAAATGATGTTTTTTTTGAAACAATGATTTTTTTATATGTTAATTTTTGTCCTATATAGTATTTGTGGGTATTTATTAAAAAAAAAAACAATTAGTCACCATTTATACCTGGTGTATCGCTACGTGATGAATCCTTTGTTGTGTCTACAAGATCATTGTTTTGTGTACATTGATCGATCAATAAGTTTCCTCCATAGCCTTGAGTTAGAACTGGATGTGGCACCGTGGGAACATAATTAGGGAACTTCTCGAACCCATCAGTTTGTATCCTTGCTTTGTTATGCTCGTAACCTGTATTATCGGTCATAACTTTAACAGGCATCCGGTTCACTTGACCGTTCTTCCTCATCACCATGTTCTGTCTGCTCATTATCCACTTCTCAGCATCATTCCACTTGGATGGCATTTGTCTCGAAAGGTATGCTCTTGAGAGATGATTCTGATTCGAACGCTCTCCACGAACACCACCGTGAAACTCGAAGCTTGAAGAGCTAGCGTTACTGTCATAATCAAGGTTTTCATCTTCTTGTGGTCTCAGAGTTATACTCATGTCAGGTTTTTTCAGTTGCTGAGGTTTCGGTTGATTGGTTTCTCTCGTAAGACCTTCACATTCATGTCTCGAGGCTTGGTTATTGCTTAGGTCTAAAACGGACAGTTTAGCTACTCCTATGTCCGTTGTTGAAGCTGCCACTACACAACAAGAACAGAGTAAAACACACAAAACGTTAGTCAGCAGAGCCATTTAAATAGATTAAAGGCTTTAATTGTAATATGGAGCAGAGAGATAATAAAGAAAAAACAGAGCAAAGGAGAAAAGCATTAGCTAAGAACAGAGCAAAGGCAGAGGTTTTGGCCAAGAACAGAGTAAATACAGAGACTTGAGCCAAGAACAGAGCAAATACAGAGACTTAAGCAAAGAATAGAACAAAGACAGAGGTTTTGGCCAAGAACAGAGTAAATACAGAGACTTGAGCCAAGAACAGAGCAAATACAGAGACTTAAGCAAAGAACAGAACAAAGACAGAGGTTTTGGCCAAGAACAGAGTAAATAGAGAGTCTTGACCTAAGAACAGAGCAAATACAGAGATTTGAGCCAAGAACAGAGCAAAGACAGAGACTTTAGTCAAGAACAGAGCAAATACAGAGACTTGAGCCAAGAACAGAGCAAAGACAGAGACTTTAGCCAAGAACAGAGCAAAGACAGAGAACTTAGCGTTCTAAGACAAATTGAGATACGGAAGACAAGAGACAAAACCATTATCATAGTCGTATGAATCAGAGTTAGAAGCTAGCAAGCTGTTCTTGGAGAATTCTGTGCCATCCGAAACCTGAAGACGAACAGGTGAAGTTCTTGAAGAGTTAGTGTTAGATCCTTCTTTCTTTTTGTTATTGTGCAGACCCATTAGCTTCATTCGCAGCTTCGTCGGCGAGATGATGCTCTTCTGCAATATATAAACAGAAACTTGTTGCATTTTTGTTTAATTATTTTACATGTCTTCAATAGTTTAAAGGACGAACACATACACTCTTTTCAGATAAAGCAAAACTGTTTGATTGAAGGGAGGAGAAAAAGGATGAATATTAACAGTAATCACAGATTTTTAAAGAAAAAGTTCTTATCTTTCTTCCAAAAATTCTTCAAACAGAGAAAACTCACTGTGAGGTAATAGATGTTGTACTTGAGAGAGAGAGAGAAGAGTTAATTACCTGCACCTTCTCAATCCTCTCGTACTCCATCGCCAATGCCAAGTATTCTCTATCTGTCTATGTATAAATGTTAAACAGATTTTTTTTTTTGAGCAATCTTTATACAGATTATATAGCAAACTGTATGAAGTTGAAGTACGACAAGACCAGCTTTGTCTCCCTAATCCTCTCTCCTCTCGAGAAAAAGAAGAGAGACAAATGGGTGTTTTGTGCTTTATATCCTTAATATAGTTTTGAGAATTTTTAGATAATGATTTTAAAAGAGGGATTTTCTTATAATTTTAACTTTTATATATTTTGGAGATCTCTTGTTTTTATTTTTGTGTTTGAGTAATGAATTTTTCCTATCAAATTTAATCTCGAAAAGTACTTGAATATTTGTATTAGAGCATTGAAAAATAAAATTTAAAAATACAGGGAGCCATAATGGATGTATGTATTTGACATTTGTACAAAACACTATTTCATCTGAGTAAAAAATATTGCAATGATTATGATTTTTGAGAAAATTTCCCATTGCAATGATTTTGCTTTTAGATATGTTAAAAGAAAATGCTTTTTGATTTTTTAGATACAAAACTATATACTCGAAATACTACCTGCCAAAAGGAGAAAACTATGATACTAATTCTTTTTGTTCCTGATATCTGAAATTAAGTAGAATTTGAAAATCACTTTTTATATACATTTTTCGAATCTTGACACACGCCGTAAATAACTTAATCATTTCTTATTACCAAACTTAATCATTTCTTTTTTTCACAGTGAACTCTTTTTGTTGGGTCATTCACCTCTACGACTATAACAATAAAAATTGCAGAACCTCTAAAACCTGAAATAGAACAACATATTTGCATACAATTAGCTCAGAGTTTAAATTGGAAATGTTTTAGGAGTTCACAGAAAAAAAAAGAGTGAAAGGTAAATAACATTCTTTTTGTTAACATGTAAATAGTATATACAACATCCCATGTGTTTTTATTGACCTAGTAATTATGATAGTGACAAAAAAAAAGAGAAACTCTGTTTTGTTTGGTTTAAAGAAGAAGCCGAAGAAGTGATTGTGGGTAGATTCGCAATGCAAATGTAAATCAGTACTGAAACGTAAGCAATCGAACTGACACTTTCTCCACTTTAGGGCATTACGTTTCTCTGTCACTTTTGACCGTTGACTACCTCTCTTCTTCTTTGCTCTCTTAGGGCATGATTATCCATTGTCCTTACAAGTTGGTCCTTAGAGTAATTTATTGTTATTTTTAGTTTAGGACAATTTTAAGGACTTTTTGTAAAAATGTGGATTATTGGTGGGACTAATTGTTGGTTCTTAGGTAATAATAATTCTTAAAACATGTTGCTAAATAAGAAACATCGATCTCACGTTCAACTCCAAAAATCGACTCTTCAAAACCCAACCGCATATCATACCTTAACATACATGTTCCCAACGATCAGGAGACAAAGTGTGCAGCTAATTACAATAGAGGCTAGTCTAATTTGACTTCAAAGCTGACATGTTGAAATTGAGAGCATGGTGAACTGAAGAAGCTGATGCAGAACCATAAGAAATTGAAGAAGCTGATGCAGAACCAAATATAGGAGTGAAATGTTTCCAATATTATACCTCTGCATGCGAAGTTTCTCAGCAATAGGATCTAAAGCTTCTTCCTTTGAAGCTTCAACAGTTTTAGCCTTCTTCTCCACACCCTTTGCTGCTGCTGCTTTCTTTGGAGCCTTGTCAGTAGCATGCTTTACTACAGGTGCCTAACACACAACACTCTTTTCAATTTCTCCAAGAGTGCCAGACTTGTGGCTTCCACCATTTCTTGAAGCCAGGAGAATGTATCGATAACTCTGACCTTGTAGAAAAGTTTCAGATCATAGAGATTGGTCTATGGGATTGTGTGCTTCGATATTGACATGCTGGATTCCAGGGACAAGCTCTTGGAACCGGTCTACTTCGCTTCCTAAAGCCGTTACAACTTCCTCACCTACAACAATGATAACTCAGGTTTTTTGTTTCTAGCTTGGAACATAAAACTATATGACAAATCCACCAAGTAAAAGAACTTGGTTCATACCATAGTTTGACATAACATTGAGCATTGCAGAATCATCTCCTCTCTTTGCAGCCTCACGGAACTGAGAAAGTATACCATCAATTTTCAGAAAATATTTAAGTAACTAACCACATATTCATCTTCAGCTAAGAAGACGCAACTATGAGATAAAAAGCTGCAACTTTAGTTACCTGTTTCGCCCACTCTTCACGCCCAGTTCTCTTCGGATAGTTTTGAACAACGACCTGTCCGTTGAAATCTGTTTGCATATAGCAGTTAATATAGTGGAACACACAATATAACAAAAGTACTTCGATCTTTATGGTTTTGCCTTTTTATCTTCTTCTTTCTAAGCCAAGGGAACAATCCAATACTTTGAACAGTTGAAGAAACTCACCTATTTCAGCCTTAAATCTGAAGCTCACATTGACTGAAGAAGCAAATGGGTCCTCATCAAATCGAGCTTAGATGGAGAGGGATTGATTGAATAGCAAAACGGAGTTGAACCCATCTTGATTGAAGATCACATTGACTGAAGGAAAGAGGGAGAGAGAGTGGAGATGATTTGAAGAAGGAGGAGATGGAGACGGCGGCGAAACTCTTGCTCCTCCATTGCCTTTTCTCTACCAAATTCAAGGCCCACTCTTCTGTTCCCACGTGGCACTTAAGGACCAGCTAAAAGACTTCTTAACTAAGGACGTCCCAACAAATTACCCAATTATTTGATTTATTTTGGGACCAAAAATCTCTAAGGACCTGGGCTTAGGACGCCGATAATTATGCTCTTACATTTCTATTTAATACTACATTACTACTGTACATATTTTCATTATGGAAGATCTTCATTTATGGATATAAAGTTCCAATTATACATGTAACCAGAATCAAAATATCCGTTGCCTACGTCTTCGCTTAAACTCTCTATTACACGCTTGAGCAATGTGGAATGGAGTATTAAACCATCTGTGAATTTTAATTAGAACTGTAAGTACATTATAGTTTTTATCGGCTTATAAAATTCGAAACATGCGAGTGATATAAACAATTGGCGAGGGTGTACGCATTGTGAGGCTCAAGCTCAGCTAGATTCCCTATAGACTAACCTTGATTTCCTCAAAAGAAAAATTTTAAATTAGTAATTTCTAAAGGACATGCTTTTCCACAATATATATGAGATTACTTTCCTTTCTGAGGACGGCGGAAAGAAAAAAAAAAACATATCAGTAAGGAGATAAACTAAAATAACTTGAAATTTTCTTAGTTTGGTCTATAATATTAGCAAGACGGGACTCAGATGTAACACATTTACTCATGTGATTGTGCTATAGACCTAGTGTCATGAGCCCATTACATTAATTTCTAATATAATCATAACTTTATAATATGTTTTCTGTGATATGGTTCTTGGCACTAGTTGGCTATAAACTTGAGCCATATGTAGTTGATTTTTTGTCGTCTATGTATGAATTTCAGAGAAAATGATATTTGGTTGGACTCTTGGAGAAAGATCTTTGACAAAATGTACACGCATTCAACATTCTATTTTTCATTCATAAAAAATAAGATTATTTTCTTCTCACAGATAGCGACATGGACATTTAGATTTATTGTTCCATACATATCATCAACGTTGATGTGATCGTGATGTACATACTGGTCGCTGATTTATTTCATTTTCTGAATTGAATAAATAACGAACAGTTTGTAGCCAATTTTTGGGTCAACACTCAGCAGCGAAAAGATTTGTACTCGCTAAAAGAATGTTCAACTTGTTGAACTTGTGCGCTAAATCTCATTTTAGTGGTCGGTGTATGAGATAAGTCAAAGAAACCACTAGTTCATTTCCTCGCACACTTTATGACATTTTTCCATTTCACATTGGCATTTCTAATACAATTTAATCAAATAATTTAGAAAGTTTATCTATTTTGCAAAGGTTCAAACCCATGTGTTTGACTATCAGAGTTGAAAATAGAGTGGAAACACAAACCATTCCTCACCAGTGGGTCCATGAAGTTACTACCCAAAAAGATATTGCCTTGATTATGTAGTTGGTGGAACCTAGACTAGCTTTCTGTTGTGAGGAGTAGATATAGGCCAAGCTTGTAAGCAAGCAGGAAACTCATTGAAGGTTGTGTGATATGGGTTTTGTTTGTTTTCTCTCAAAGTCAAAATGAAAAGAAAAAGATTAAATGATTTTGGTCTCCACACCTATAGATCGGACAGTTTTTTCGGTTTTCTTTGAAGTGCAATCATAGGTACTATACATTTGAGTTTCTCTCATAATTTTGACTTGATAACGTAGTAATCAGGAATTTCAATCTTTATAAAGAGTCCAATCGATAGGTGTGGAGATAGGGTTTGAATCTTAAAAAGCTGATACATGTTTATCCATATTCAAACTAGTTTGACATGTCCTAATACGACATCGTCCCTGAGAGTGACCTGTATGATATTCTTGTCTAATTCCTTGATCGTCGGACATAAACATTCATTTTTGTTTCATGCAAGTCAATAACCAGTTTTGAACTTCCAAAGAAGTAAAGTAATTGCTACTCCTTTTTTCTGCAGTTTTCTATTTAGAAATTTGATAGAAGGTGTAGTAATCAACATTTCGAGCATAACGTATTTTAAAGATAAACTGTTTGCTTTCTTTAGTTATTATTTAAACAGGTATATCTGAATCAAAAGATAATAATCAAGGGTCAAATCCTAAACTATAACTTAACGAATACAAAAAAAATCCAAACTTAAGATGACAAATAACAAAACAAAAATCTTTCAGTGATAATCTTGATATGAAGCTCTCTCTCTCTCTCTATCTTAAGACAAGAAGACCCACACAAGCATTCTCATCTTCTAATTTCGATGTTACGCCTAAAGAGATTTAATGAAACGAGGTGAATCATATGCAATAATCTTAGTTCTCTAGATGAGAAGGCCAGATAGTGTTTTTTTTACCTCTTCATAGATCAATTGGGACTCTCAAGCCATCATGCGCAAGTTTTACTGAAATTCCTTCCCTAACAAAACCAAAAATAAATAAGATTAATCCTTTCTTATCTGTGTATGGTTTCTTCAGATAGATGAAGATTGAGAGTTTTCTACCTTTTCGACCATTCTTCAAGAAACTCGTTGTCTTTGTGGTGATCAAACTCGTGAGTCATTCCGATTAATAGAGCCCTTCTCGGACTCAGTCTTTTGATGGTCTCCAGTGTCTACAGAAACATCAGTACGCATACATAAATAAACCCATAAAATGAAAAAAAAACGCACCTTCAAATTAAGCTAACCTGCGGGAAACATAAGTGGGTGTTGTGGGATCCTGTCTGCAACCAAAATAAAAGAAAGTGGAGAACGAATCAGCAAACAGTATTCATAAAAATTTCAGACTTTAAGCACAAGGATGATGTCTGTTACCTTATATAATGTGTCCAAGACAAGGAGATCCAACTGTCCACCACCAGATTTTGATATAACTGTATAATCCAAAGCCAACACAGTCTGAGATAACTTGCTTCAGAATATCAAAACAGACGCGCTAATCATTTTGTTACACCTACCATACTCAGTACTTGGAAGAAAGCGTGACACATCGGATAAATACGCCACTCTTGATTTTCCTCCAAAAAGAAAACCAAGACAGACATAGTCTTCTCCATGCATCACCTACGGCATAAATAAGCTTTTGAATTGAGATCCACATAGATCAGCAGGAAGACACAATTCACTATTTTCAACAGAATCTTTGAGAAATTTACTGGAAGTGGCGTGAATGATAGGCCTGAAGCTACAAAAGGTTTCTCACAATCTTCTTCAATCACTCTCCAATCCAGCTGTGCCACTCGCCTAACTTCTTGGCCTTCTTTAAGTTTCTTCTGAACCAAATATGGGAACTTCACAGCAAGGCTGTTTTCATTTAAAAAAAGAAAGCTCGTGATTGTTAAAACTACAGCTTCTAAGTCTCAGAAAAGATCATAAATATATTATTTTTACAACCTGTCCATAGCATATTGGCTAACAAAAATAGGAGTAGGATCAATATCATTAGTAGGACTAAAAGGCTGCACGGAACGTATATCATCCAGGCCAAGTACTGCATCAGCATGTTCATGTGTCAAAATAATCTGCATTACATTAACAAACATCACTCCTCACATACACTGAGAACTTCTTTGGTTCCAAATATTTTTTTAAAAAAGCTCGAGAATTGCTATCAAAGATTTAGACTTTAGCTTTCTTCATACATAATCTCAAGCAGCATTCATAAAAAAAAAAAGAGATCTCAGTTACAGCTTACAGAATCAACTTGAGGAATGTTGTGAAGAGTAAACCAACGAAGGACTTGTTCTCTAAACGTCTTTCCCACATCAATTAGAATGTATTTATGTTTGCCTTCACTTTCGCAATAATCAATGAGCAATGACGTGTTCCCCCTGCCAAAAATATCTCTTCCAGTGAGAAAACAAGCTACCAGACTCTAAAGGAAGCTTAACCACACTAAACCATATGATCCAACTCCAAACAAAGCTTCATGTTCTTTATATATGACCGGTTAAGCCAAAAGGAAACTTAAACCAGACTAAACCACAATTAATTTACCTAACCGAAATGACTAAACCATATGATCCAACTCCAAACAAAGCTTCATGTTCTTTATATATGACCGGTTAAGCCAAAAGAAAACTCAAAACCAGACTAAACCACAATTAATTTACCTAACCGATATGACTAAACCATATGATCCAACTCCAAACAAAGCTTCATGTTCTTTATATATGACCGGTTAAGCCAAAAGAAAACTCAAAACCAGACTAAACCACAATTAATTTACCTAACCGAAATGACTAAACCATATGATCCAACTCCAAACAAAGCTTCGTGTTCTTAATATATGACCGGTTAAGCCAAAAGGAAACTTAAACCAGACTAAACCACAATTAATTTAGCTAAACCGGTATGACTAAACCATCGTAATATTAACTGAATGTGCTAACATCGATCTCCGATTAGACAATAGCGATTAGATTAAAATAATCTGGATCTCGAATCTAACATGAGGAGAGAGTGTTTCATACCTGTAGTTAGGGTTTCTCTCGGGAGGGATCGAGAGAGACTGAGAGCAGACGTGGCAGGGGGAATCGGATTTCTGGATCAGACACATTGCGTTAGGGACCGCGCTCGAGCATCCCGTTCCGAGGAATATCAGTGCCGATCCGTCGCGATCGGAGCCGTTCTGAGACGGAATCGAACCGTCTTCCGTCATCGGAGATATACGTAACGTTTGGTGTACGAATCTGGTGTGGAATATTCCCGGCGAAGGAGTCGAAAACTGTAGAAAACAGTGGGCTAACAGAATGAAGCTAGGAGAGGAAAATATAAATAGCTTTTTATAATATATAAATAAATAAATACCGACGGTTATTCTATATTGAGCTTGCCACGTGGCGTAATCTTGACGTCTCTGAATACAACTCCTTGTTGGAACTGGGAATGTTGATTTTATATTTTGATCTACAAGGAATGTTAGTTAAATGATATTCATGAGATTTAAATTTGGTTCATGGTTTATTCCCAAGTTCTTAAAATCGTTTAAAAAACAAAAAAAAAATTAATGACATCTAGGCTATGTGACCATAATGATAATTGATTTAAAAAAACAAAAAAAAAATAGTGAAAAAGGTGAGCTCAGGATGCGGCGATTTCATCTGAATTCAGATGAGTGCGAAGGACCCAACCATCGCTATACCAATTTCTTCACAGCTCAGATTGCACCAGCCGGGAATCGAACCCGGGTCTGTACCGTGGCAGGGTACTATTCTACCACTAACCACTGGTGCTTTGTTGATTCTCTTAATCTGAAACTAAATAACTTCATACTAACAGATTCAGGTTTTTCAATATTTTGTCTTCTGATGAGCCTTCAAGCAAACATTGTAAAATGAACTAGAGCTTGACCCGCACACCCGTGCGGGTTTATTTTTACATTTTTGCAAATATATATATTTATTTTATATATAATAATATATAATTTTAAAATATATATGTATTAAATTATTGTTTAATATGACATTTTTAAGCATTAATGATAACTGAAATCAGTATTTAAAAAGGTTTACTATATGTTATTAAATGGTCCAACATGATTGAATATGTAAATTATAGTTATTATGCACTTCTAATATTTTCATATTTAAAATTCTATATTTTTAGAAAAAAAATCAGTAGCATAAACTGTTATATGAGAAAATCTAGGGGATATCCAAAAATGATTTTGTTTTAAAATTAATAAACAATATAAGAAATGTATTAAATTAAATGAAAAAGACAACATTACTAAAAATTAGGATTATTAATAAATACAATGGCATTGTTGTGTAAATAACTTGAAAAACTAAGGGGTATATTTTATTGGTACTTCTGTTTTAATAAGATAGATACGCAAACACAAAAAAAAACAATTTTGGCCTAAATCAAGCTGCCTCAGATTTTGTATTTTGCTTAATAATAGCAAGACTTGTAACTTCACAGCTCATACAATGCGCAGCATGCCTATTGATCACTTTTGATTATTCTTATAATGTTTTGTTGGTTGCTGCTTCACGGTTAGATTTACATTAAGTGCAATTAGGTAAGAATTGTTGGTGCAACTGAGAAGGCGTGACTGTAACACCAAGAGTTTCTATATATTTAGGATACTCACTTTCTCTTAAGGTATATGCAAGTTATAAATAGAATCTATGAGGCTTATCCTTGAGGGGGTACGTATACCTTACGTCGTTATATCATTAAAGGTATCCATTAATTTTTTGGTGTTCAGGTATAGTGATGCTGATCGCTCGCTTGTTGCATTAGAGCTCTGTTTTTTACTCTGCATTCTCTTATGCAGAACTCGTTTTTTTTACTCTGCATTCTCTTTTTACCACATAGTTCCCATACACACAAATGCATTACCAAAAAAGTAAGTGTTAATTTCAAGAATCTTTGTGAAAGATGATTTCTGTTGATGTGGTTTACTGTTTTGTTGCTAATGCTTAAATGGTATGTCCCGATTATGACAAACGATTACAACTGTTGTTGTCTTTATATGCAAGACTTTTGTACTGGTTTCTACCTAGGGTTTATGATACAGAGTTTAGCAGTAAACAATGCTGGAGCTTTAGGTGGTAAGAGTTGTGGATGCCGACAATGCGAGAACTGTTCAATCTCTTTAGTTACTGTACAATGTACTGATGCCATTGGATCACCTGCAACGAATCCATACCATTGGACTGATGGATTATGTAGTTACTTTAGCCCCACTCTTCTGTCAAAACATGCATATTTAAAAAGAATCTTCCCGTTTTTCCACTCTATGCAAATGTATTTTGTATGATTTTTCCTTTTGTTCAAACATGTATTTTGTATTATTTAGGTTCACTTTAGGATATGGTTTCAATGGTTATGGCCATCCATTCTTTGTGCTTAGAATTGTCTTGGAAGGTTTTGTGTTTGGTATAATTTATATATATGTTCATTTTATTAAGCACGTACTTGTTGGTACATTTATGCAACTGAGAAGGCGTGACTGATATGATACAAGGCACGTGGGAAGGAGCTGGTACCTGCACAAATCACAATAAGAAGATAAGGTAGTTACATTGAGGAGAGGAGTATAAATAAGGGAGATGATTGTTATTGAGAGTTAGTTAGTTGGTTGGTCTCTTGTGGCTAGGGCTTGCTTCTCTTTGAGAGCAAGATAGCTTTCATTGTAATCCTCTGTTCTTGATAGAAATATACTTGAATTCTATCAGTGACTGTAACACCAAAAGTTTCTTTACATTGAAAATAAATAAATACCGCCGGTTATTCTTATATTGAGCTTGCGACTGGCATGATTTTAACGTCTCTAGATGGAACTCCTTGTGGGAATTGGGAATGTTAATTTTTTTTTCTTTTTAATTTTGATCAACAAGAAATGTTATATGATATCCATGAGATTTAAGATTGGTTAATGGGGTTATACCCAAGTTCTTAAAATTGTTCAGTTATAAAAAGAAAAGTTCTTTAAGTTGTTTAAATTTGATGGCGTGATGGACCGACAAGAACGCCTAGGCTGACCATAAGTTGATTTTAATTGGCTAAAGTGCTTATCAAAGAAAAACAAATTATTTAACAAAAAGTGAGCTCAGGGATGCGGCGATAACATCTTAATTCAGATGAGTGCGAAGGACCCAACCAACGCTATACCAATTTCTTCACAGCTCAAATTGCACCAGCCGGGAATCGAACCCGGGTCTGTACCGTGGCAGGGTACTATTCTACCACTAGACCACTGGTGCTTCGTTGATCAATTAGATATTACAAACAATATAATATCACGAGAATGAGTTGGTTACCGGATTCATGCGTTCACAAAAACATGATCATGCGGATGAGACTCTTCTGTTTCTTAAGGATGCTGAAGAAAAAGGGTTTCGAATTGACAAGGAGGGGAGCTCATGCGTTTTGCAAAGAGAGGAATGTCTGAGGCAAAAGAACGAAATCCTATCTTTCATGGGGTATAGGCCTTTTTATCCATTCTATGCAAATGTATTTTGCATTATTTAGGTTCATTTTAGGTTATGGTTCCAATGGTTATGACCATCCATCCTTTGCGCTTAGAGTTTGTCTTGGAAGGTTTTGTGTATGGTATGTTTATAAGTATGTTCATTGACTGTAACACCAAAAAGTTTCTTTACATTTAGAATGTGCTTACTTTCTGTGAAGGTATATGCAAATGATAATATCAATTATGTAAAGAAAAGGGAAATTGTTTGGGACATATATATATGAATTCAATGGCTGGAAATAGAATAGATGAATATGTGAGGCTTAAATATGATGGGGTCATTGTTTTTTGTGTGTGAACCTGGTGATATTGAATGTCATATCTCGTAATAATGTTTGCATCTCTGGCTGATTCTGATAATAATCCAAAGTTGGAAACTGTTCCTGGAAACGTAAAAGTAAAGAGGGTACCTTCCTCAACTACCGCTTTTCTGATATAGGACTTTTATATTCTGCAAACAAAAGATCATGTCTGCTCTTCTTGTCCAGTTTAACGATTTCAACTGTTGCCTTCTGTTGGAGCTTAGCAACTTCTAGGCTATTCACAATTCAGCATCTTGCTGTTTGTTTTTCCATGTTAAGGCTGAGAGAAACCTTATGAAAGCTCGTTTCTTACGCTACCATTCTCTGTTACCATATAATCCCATACACAATCATGCTAAAAGGAAAGTGTTACTTTTAAGAAAAAATTATAGCTGTTAATATTGTTTATACCATTAATAAATAAAATATATAAATTTTGCAACTAATAAAAACAAATTTAAATTTTATGTGATTGGATAAGTGATAATAATAATAATAATAATAATAATAATAATAATAATAATAATAATAATAATAATAATAATAATAATAATAATAATAATAAGAAGAAGAAGAAGAAGAAGAAGAAGAAGAAGAATTATCCTAAATCTAAAAATATATTTTAATTTTTTAAAACTAATATATATTATTGTAATATCTGAAAATATATATTAATAAAAAGTTACAAATTAAAACATAAAATATATAACTCAATATTAATGAAATAAAATTATTAATTTTATAGAATTGAAAAATAATATTAAGTGATTTTGAAATTTTATTTTTTTAATAATGAAAATAATATACAATTAAATTTTCAAAATATGTTACGTAAAAACTTTCAAATCAAAATAATAATAATTATATTTTCAATTTATAATAAATATATTAAGAAGTAGTTATAAAATGTTTAGCCTGGGTTAAAACATTTAGAGCATACAAAATTGAAAAACTTCCAAAATGTCAGAGAAAGTCACCGAATCAGCTTCTCCTTCCTGTTTTTATTACTTTTTCAATTTTGTATTATATAAAAAAATTTCTGCTGATACTGCATCACATACTATTGTTGGAGCTGCCTGCCTTATAGAGGTTTAAATTGGTTAATGGTTATTCCCAAGTTCTTAAAATCGTTTAAATTTGCTGGCACGATGGACCATAAGTCGATATTAACTGGATAATGATTTTAAAAATAAAACAAATTAGTAAATAGAAATAAAAGGTGAGCTCAGGATGCGGCATTATCATCTCAATTCAGATGAGTGCGAAGGACCCAACCAACGCTGTACCAGTTTCTTCACAGCTCAGAATGCACCAGCCGGGAATCGAACCCGGGTCTGTACCGTGGCAGGGTACTATTCTACCACTAGACCACTGGTGCTTTGTTGAAGAAGATTATCTTAAAACAAAGAACTTCTAATTCTATCTCACATTTTCTGTTTTGTTGGTAACGCTTAAATGCT